CCACACGCAAACCGGCCTCGTTGCCTCTGTAGCCGAGTTTGGAAACGATGTGATGGGGCTCTCTGGCTCCACCGCCCTGGTGGCGCTGGTGCACCCCGACAAGGCCGTGTTTGCCAGCCTGGGCGACTGCCTGGCGGTGGTGTGCCGCGGCGGCGTCGCGGTCAAGGCGACGCAGCAGCACAGGGTCTATGGAATCGGGCCGGACGTCGTTGAAGGTGGGGGGGCAGGGGGGAGCTTCAGGGGTGACAATGCGTGAACAAGGGCAGTCAGCCCTTGCCGCCGGCAGAGCGCGGTGTTATGGATGTGCCGTGGTGCGGTGCCACGGTTTGGCCCGCAGACGCGCCGGCTGTAGGCAGCTGCGGCAGCCAGGTTGGGTATGGGAAGGGGTCGAAGGCGCACAGCGTGCAGCCCCTGCGGTCGCCCAACCCAAACGCTTGAAACCCTTACCCTGCAACGCTGCACCACTTGCCCTCCCCCTAAACAACTCGGCGCATCACTCCAGAGGTGGCGCGCGTGGAGTCCACTGGGGCTTGGGTGGTTGACGGCCGTGTTTGCGGGGTGCTGGCTGTGTCGCGGGCCTTTGGCGACCCGGAGTTCAAGGTGAGGAGGGGGGGGGGGCAGGGGCTTCGGGCGTCCAAGGAACGGACATCTTCGAAGCGTCCGAGGATGCAGGGGTGGAGGCGTGGTTGAAGAGGCCGGCGTCGGCGTCGCCTGGAGGCGACGAGTTTCATGCGCCGAAACAGGGGGTTTGCGGTGGTCGCTGAGGGGCTTGGAGAGAAACCGAGGTGTCAAGAGGCCCAGCGGCGTTGCAAGGAGGCTCGTCCCGCTGCCCTCTCACCGCAGCGCCCACCAGGCGCGCGCCCGACGGCCACAACACCTCTCCCAGGGCAAAACGACACCCCCCAAGAGCAATTACCCCACGAAACCCATCCTTGCCCTGAAGGACAGAACAACAACAAAAATCCAACGCCTCTTCTCATCCCCGCAGGGCGAGGGCCTGCCGACGCTGATGGCAGAGGGCGTCCGCAAGCGCTACTGGTCGGCCGAGTTTGCGGCCGCCGCCAAGTTCAGCTCGGACCCCGTCATCGTGGAGCCTGACGTCACGGAGATTAGGTTCACGCCCAAGGATGAGTTCTTACTCATGGCCACGGTGGGATGCCGGCGTTGGGGGCCGCTGGGGTGCTGAGGGGCGTGGCCAAACGCACCCAAGCACTCAACACGCACCGGCACCCCTGTGCGCGTGCGTTGGCGCTCTCTCTCTCACACACACATGCATGCATGCGCACACGGGCGCGCACCTCCGACACCGACGCTGAAGCCTCGGGCTCTCAACGCGCAGCGGAACCAACTTGTATCAGAGTGTGTTATCCCCACTCACTACTCACAACCGCTGTTGCGACAATCGCCGCCGTCATCGCATCGGCTGTTCACGACTCATATGACTCACTCAGGACGGCCTGTGGGACGCGATGCCTGTGAACGACGCCGTCACGTATGCCCGCAAGCAGTTCCGCGCCGGCAAGGACGCGCAGCAGGTGGCGGAGGCGATGACGTCGATCGCGCTCAAACGATACACCGCCGACAACGTGGGCGTGGTGGTGGTCGACCTGCGGCGCGACGGCGGCGGCGGCAGCAACAGCAGCAACGGCAGCCACGGCAGCAACGGGGGCGGCAGCGGGACCGGCGGCGGCGGCAGCAACGGCAACGGCAAGAGCAACGGCACGTGGCCGAAGAAGGGGGCGGGCAGGGCGGGGCTGTTTGGCGGACTGTTTGGCGGGCGGTGAGGGGGCGGGGCGCCTGCCTGGTCGGCCCGTCGCGTGTCAGGGTGCTGACGGGCGGCGCCTGTCCGACCACGTCCCGCAAAACATTCTTCTCTGCGCCAATGGCTGCCTTCTTGTTTGGTATAATGGTTGAGATTGTGAAAGGTTGACCGGCCGCGGCGCGTGACCAGCCAAAACGGGCGCACCCTCACACTCCAGAGGCTGCACTGAACCTCGCGTGCAAGCATGCGCGCGCACACACCAGCGAAAGCCGCTACACACTCACACCCCATCACCGCCCGGCCAGGCCCGCCGCCCACAGCAGGCGCCTGCTGTGCATTGTGGGCCGTACACTACACACCACCCCTGCGCCGCCCGTCGTCGCCGCCTTGTTGCCGCCCGCGCAGCCATCTTTTCCGCCCGGCAAGCACGGCGCGCGCCCTTTTGCCCCCGCGTCAAACACACCATGTTGTCAGAGCTGCCAGGTTTGCCGCATGTGGCGGCGCAAGGCCAGGTGAGGCCCCACCCCAGTCGATTTTTCAGCCGCAGCTCAACACTCCGCCTCAAAATTCCACAACCCTGCGTCCTTGGCTCGCCCCTCTGCCCCGCCCCGGGGAAGCGACGGCAGCGCCCGCTGCCCTGCTGGTGCGCCGATGGCTCTGCGCCCCACAAATGTAACACCCACTGCTGACTCGGGCGGATGTAGCCCGACAGGGCGCCTCTCAGCCCCCCTCCCTTCCATCCTGCCCCGTGCTGCTTTGGGGTCTGATAGAAGTGGGGCAACGCGATAAGGGTTGCGTTTCGTGCATCTCTTGCGCCGCAGGGCGGCCGCAGCCCCGCACGCAAGCATTCCTGCTCCCCACGCACAAGGCTCCTGAGGCGGCAGCGGCTCGCATTTTCCATTCTCATCACTCAGTACAGCAAGCCTAGGGAAGGGGGGGATCACGGGTGCAAGCTCGGCAGCGACGCGCCGCGGCTACGGCCCTGGGCCGCTGCGTTGGCGCAGCAGACGACATGGCCGCGGACGTCCGAAGCCCACAGGCGTTCGAACCAGACCAGACCGACTCTGTTCCAGGTGGTTGAGGGTCCGGGTCCTTCTCCTGCAGAGCCCCCCGCATGGGTGGCTTTGAGGGTCACGTATGCGACGGCCAGCCTATGTGCTGTGGAAGCAGGCTGCTTGACTGGATATAATCAAGAGCGGTTGAGTTCATTACACAAGGCAACAAGCTTCACGAGAGGGCGCCCAGGCTGGGCTGTGCAGCGCCAGCACCGCCTGCCCCCGCGCCCCGGGCCGGCGGCTGCGGGGGCAGCGATAGATAAAAGGGGCGGGGCGGGCGCTCGGCGGCGCCGCGGGGTGCACTATAACGGCTGCGCCGGGCGTCCGGCGCGCGCGCGCTCCCCCGTGCCCGCCCAATCCTGCCTCGGACCCGCGGTTCGCGCGTCCGATGTTACGCGCCACAACCCCGGCGTCACGCGTCGGTGACGCAGCCCTCGCTGGCGCTGCCGACGAGCTTGATGTACTTGTAGAGCGTCCCGCTGGTCGCCTTGAGGGGGGGCGCGGTCCAGGCGGCGCGCCGGGCGGCGAGCTCGTCATCGGTGATCCCCTCGATGTCCATGCGGCGCGTCTTGGCGTCGATGATGATGGTGTCGCCGTCCTGTCGGGGTCCCGAGGATGTGTCGGGGGCCGCGGGGGTGGGTGTTACATACAGGGGGAGGAAGCGCGCTCATGGGGAGGCACCGTAAGGGAAACAGCTGTGTTGATGATTCCGAGGCAGGGGAATGAGGTCGGGGGGTGCTGTGAGCTTTGGAGTCGGCTGCGCGACGGCGGCTTCCCAGGGCGCGTGCGTGCGGCAGCCGCCTGCGACGGCCGCGGGGCATTGACTTGGGTCCGAGGGGGGGGCACCTTCGCGCAGCGAAGCCGGCGGGGTCGGAGCAATGCGCGCACGGCGCTGGCGGGGGAGCCGCTCCGCAGCCTCTCCACATGCGCCTGAACCAGCTGCGGCGGCGCCCTGCCACCCCCCCAGCCCAAAATCCCTGGGCCGACCAAGACTGGGGTCACCCAGGGTGACACTGGCGCCGTTTGAGATCGCTACAAAACCCTTGCAAGGCGTGTGTTGCGAGGCGCACGCCGCTGTCGCCGACTTTGCGTTTGCAGTGAGTTATTTGTGCTTATTACGTAAGGTGACGTAAACCCTTGGCGTCACCAGGGGCGCACCTTGACGAGGGCGATGGGGCCGCCGACCTGGGCCTCAGGGGTGACGTGGCCGATGACAAAGCCGTGGCTGCCGCCGCTGAAACGGCCGTCTGCGCAAGGGTGCATGTGTGTATGTGTGTGTGTGGGGGGGGGGTGAGG